ACAAAACAAAGCAATAAAATCTTGTTTGTTTGAGTGTCTATTCTAGCAGCCAAATAAATAGACCTCTTTCTTTTTTGTTACACTTTTAGTTTGATAATCAGTTATTGAGGTATAGTTACAATTAAACGAGGGCCTGTTTGTTTACTTTTGTGAATGAAAGTTATACTTTAGATTATTAAGACCAAAAACTCAGTTGTAATAAAGGTTTTTAATTTTTTTTTTTTTTCACTTTTTAATATAGCAAAGTTGTCAAACATAGAGAAGGTAATTTACACATTAGCTTGTAAATTGAAAGAATATTTTGTATTTTCTTCATACGTGAAATTATTATTATTAATAATTTTATATTAATAAATAGTAAAGTTAATAATTTATTTTAAATAACGTAAATATCTAAGATATTAAATACTGTCAATCTAAAAATATATTAAGTACCTCTTAATTTTACAAGAACTATAGCAATTACTCCTAAAAAAACAAACTAGGAACTTTATACAATGGACTTTTCCAGGTTGGTCGTAAACTGGCCATGCATGCACCACTTGTGCATGAAATACATTCAGGCTGTATTAGTGTATTACGGAACAATGGAGAAGTGAGTGTGATACACACATTTGCGCGGATAAAGATTACAAGTCTTTCTATAGTTTTTAAAATAATAAAATTATAGTAAAATTAGTTTTTTCATCCTTTAATTTTAAAATAAAATATACTTTTATTCTCTAATTTTTTATTCATTTTTTCCTTAAATTTTATTTTTTTTCACATTAATACTTTTTGTTAACCTATTATATGACCTGACAAAGATTTCTTAGATGGCGTTAAAATGACTTTAATGCTGTTAACTAATCCTACTTGGACATTTGAATTAAAAAATTGTCAATACACCTAGAGAGGTTGTCCTACCTCAATCATTATCTCTCTCTCAATCCTTATAACAATTCTCACTTGAATTCAGCGACCTCAACTTGGTGAAAGGGGTAAAGTGCTCCTCCATGACAAGTTTGTGGTGCTTATGGACAACACCAAGCTAGTGGAGAGGCTCAAGAGAAGTGGTTGCGAAGCTAAATTTAGATTGAATGAGAGTGAGAAACAAAGAAACATATATTTTGTCCTATTTAATATTGCAAATCATGATATTATTACAAGCTTTAATCTTAATAAATCAGTTTTTTTGCTGAAAGAAAACTCTTGAAAGCTCGGAGATAAAAATTTTTATGAGAGACGTTCTCTTGTCTCTAGATTTCTTACCGTCAATACTAATTATGGTGAGAATGCCTCAATGGAGGAATCCCTACATCAAATAGAAAACTTCCTACATCACAGTATGTAATTTTGTTGAGTTTCTTAGTTGTTATTTTACTGGAAAAAAATTCTCAAATTTAGCCTCCTAATTGTCATTTTGAGTATAAAAAAAAGGTCGACTCATCATGTTAAAAAAATGCTCATCTTAAACTTGCAGCCCTTTCTCCCAACTCAATGAAAAATTGTCCCCAAAATTTTATTCCAAACATATATTCAATTATTTAGTTTACAGAATAGATTAGTAAAGTAACAACACATGCCCAATTATCAATTATAAATTTAATTTACAGAATACATCTATTTTACTCCCTTTCTCTTTCTTCGCGTTTGAAGCTTACAACTTTTCACTCTATTGTTTATTGAGTTGTTTTAAATTTGCATGAAACTCTAAATTTTATTACTTTTTATGTATAGTTCTTTAATTTTTTTTTTGTGAAATATGAATCTTCTGTTATTTTTGTGTTTATTTGTGTTGCTGATCGCACTCTACTTGCAAGAAGGGGTAACAGAAGCTGCAAAAAAGGAAACTAAGATTGGTGGATTAAGGGAAAAAGATAGCAGAGTTGCAAGAAAAGAGAGTAAAAACTGTGAAATGGAAGTTGCGGGAGGAAGAAACAAAACTAGTGTGTTAGGGATTTAGGAGAAAGAGGTGGGGGAGTTGCGGGAAGATGGAGAAGTGGGGGAGTTACATTTTTTAATTATTTTTGAAATAAAAAAGTTTAAATTGGACTAAATAAACAGTATTAAGCTCATCTCAGCGTCACTTAAAATATCTCTGAGTCATATAACAAAGTTAACAGAAATGACTAAAATGAGAAAAAAAATAAAGTTTAAAGGCGAAAATGAATTAAAAAAATAAGTAAAAGACAAAAGTAAAATTTACTTTAAAGTTAAATGACGACAAGGCTAATTTTGCCTAAAATATATGTTTAATCATGACACGATAATTTGGCATAATTAATTTTTAACTATTTTTTATAATTAAAATAAATTTGAGTGTTTCATAAAAATTTACTAAGTAAGATTTTTTCAAGTTTATCAATATTCAAATACAATATTAGAAATTTTAAAACAAAAATTTTCAAGTTTTCAATGTAATGACACTCCTCAAATGTACACTCTTTTTTAGTTTTTAAAGTAGTTATGCATTCTTAGATACTTTAATTTGAGACATTTACTTAAAGCAATTGTTTATCAATTGATTTATACATTTGATAATTATTAGTGGATGAAATTTGTTATAGTAATATTTTTTCCTCTGGCGTTTTTGAATAAAAATGTAATTATAAATGAGTTCTCTTTTCGTCCAGTTTAAAAACCACTCATGTCTTCAAATTAGCGATAAAAAATGTTTTTAAAATTAAACATTACAAAACTGATATTTCTTGCTAGTATAATAATTTATAATTAGATAATTTTAGATTATATTAAATTGTTATAGGATGTGTTTTCATTGTGAAACATTGGATGGATAAGACAAAAGTGATAGTGTAGTATGATGATGCATTAAGAAGGACTGAAGGATTGAAAGGGTCAAGAGTCAGCTATAGCGACGGGAGGGAGGGTTGTCCCTTGAGATGAGCGAAGCAACACAGCAAAGGCAATTTACGGAACTCATAATAACGACCACGTTCAAGAGATGATTTCGTTATGAGTGCGGGCCAACGCGGTTACAGCCCCTTTGAGACTAGATCAACGATCACTATTACGAAAATAACTCTTTTTACGATTGGTTTTGCAGTAATTACAATATTTTTCAAAAAATAATACTAAAATTATTTATAAACTCTTTCTTAACTATTTAAATCTGAATCAGGAACACGAGAGAGAGAGAGAGAGTGAGAGTGGTGGATCTGGATATCTATAATTTTAGAGGAAATTACAGTATCCAATCTAAAATCGTTTAACCGATTTTGAAAAAGTAATTTTAATTTAAATAAAAAAAATTATTTAAACGAATTTAATAAAAAATAATTTTTATTTAAGATAAGAAATTCACTTAAATCAAAATTACGAAAAATTAATTTTTATCTTTCTCTTTTTTAAAATATAAAAATTTTTAAAAAAATTTCAATAATTATCTGGTTATAAAAAATTTTAAATATATTATTTTATTAAATATTTTAAATATATTATCTAATAAAATTTTAAAATTTTTTACAATTTAAAAATAAGAATTTTTTTTATTTAAGTAAAAATTAATTTTTTAATTAAATTTACTTAAATAAATTTTTTTAATTTTAAGTTAAAATTATTTTTTTATCAAATTTACTTAAATAAATTTTGTTTCATTTAAATAAATTTAAACTCTGAGTAGTAGTATCCGAGAGTGGTTGGGACCAGCTTGACTGCCTATGGCTTTGTGCCACTGTTTGGCAGACTTTTGGGGTCTCCGGGTCCCACCTCCGGTGCCGTGTACCCTTTAGTAACAGCAGGGCTTTATTGTCATTTCATCGTTTTGTGGGGGCACACCAACGTTACTTAACGATACTATCAATAGAAATTTTACATCCGAATACCTATTTATTTATTTCGTTAATCACATTATTTTTACTTTATTTATCTAGAATATAACAAAAGTAAAAAATTTAATCATTTTTCAAACAATAAAAAATCTTAATTTTCTTTTATTAACTAATTTCTTAAACTTTTAGATTATTTAATAAATGTATTTTTTCTTTATTGTATTTACAATTCTAAGAAATTTTTACTTTCACTTTTTTTATTTATTTTTAAAAAATTAAATTAATTAATAAATAAAAAATCATTTAAAAATAATTTTTAAATATGAGTCATAAACATTTTAGAGTAGAATAGATCCACTTAAGATTTAAAATAGACAGAAATATAATAAAAAAATTAAAATTGTCTTAAATTTTTGTATAAATAAAAAATTAAGAATAAATTTTTTTATTTTTTTCTCTAAAAAATAAATGAAAAAATAATTTTTTTTATTTTTTACAGTAAATAATTATCAGTATTTTTGTCTTATTAAAAATGAGACACAATTAGTTTTTATATATTTCAATTTAATAATAAAAATGTGATTTGCAAATTTTACTATAATTTATATTACAAACATTTTTTTATATATCTTAATAGCTTTTCATAAAACATAATGTAAATTAATTTAAAGATATTTATTAAACAAAACAACTTTATAAAAAATAAATTTAATAATTATTTTATATTTTTAAAATATAAATAAATATTAGTTATTAAATAATATACCTATGCATGTTTAAATTACATGGAATGTAATATACATATCATAAAAATATTGAATGACAGGTTGGTAAATCTTCTATTTCATGAAAAGAAGTTTTAAGTCTTGATTTATCTCTTATTTTAATACATAAATAATTAATTTAATTATTTTATATATGCATATTTTAATTTTTATCTAATTTAATCTAAATACGATATAGTAAGTGTATTTATTATTAAAAAAATTTGTATACACAAAAATTTAAATTTGAAATATTATTTAAATGATACTGAACTGTTTATTATTACTTAGATTAATTTTCAGTTAGTATTTAATAAATATTTTTAAATATATTATAATACATATATGATATATTCTTATGTTTTTCACTTTAATAAAGTAATTATTTATTTTTTATAAAAATATGATCACATATGACAGTTACTTTTGTCTGTACTTATTGGTGTAGACACCCAAGGTATTCCCGTTGCTGGCATACACACCCTCGTCTTGTTTTGGTTTGGTCTCCTTCTCTATATAAACGCGTACCTCTCTTTGTTTTCAAACTAAACTTGCCACAATCATATTCCTCTCACTCACCCCAAAACACTGCAAAGTAAGTGTTGTTGTCTTTGCTAAGTTGAGAAGATGAAAAACTCAAACATTACTACTAGTGATTCATCAAAACTTGATCGCAAAACCATCGAAAGAAACCGAAGAATTCACATGAAAGCTCTCTGCTTCAAGCTTGTTTCTATTATTCCTTCCAAATACCTCAAACCCACCAAGGTACGTTGTAGATCGATAGCCTCTCTTTGCAAATCAATCAGTCCTAATTAGTTGATGCGAAAACTTATTTAATTGAGATTAATTAATTAACTAAATGAACGAATATTTCAGGACATGTTGTCACAACAAGATCAGCTGGATCTAGCAGCCACGTACATAAAGCATCTGAGAGAAAAGGTAGAAAAATTAAAAGGAAAGAAGGAGCAAGCCATGAACATGATTAGGTCAACCCAAAGCAATAATAGAATTTTTAATATTGGCTCACAATTGCCTCAACTTGAGATAAGGGACTTGGGTTCGGGGATTGAAGTGATGTTGATAAGTGGGTTGAACAAGAACTTCATGCTCTACGAAGTAATTAGTGTCCTTGAAGAAGAAGGTGCTGAAGTTGTGACTGCTAACTTCTCTACCGTTGCTGATAAGATTTTTTACACTGTTCATGCTCAGGTATAATAATGATACACATCTATATCTATAGTACTCAAAATCAAATCAATAAAAATATATATAGACATATATCTACTTTGTTCTGAGAAAAAAAGGCATTGCAACGTGTGTGGATATTGGTTTATCCCGGGTTGCTTTCATCTCTTTTTTGGGTCCAGCTAGTTTTAAATAGGGTTAAGAATGATCACACAATACATATAGATATTCATTTTGATGATATCTTATCTTTTTCTATCAGGTTAAAATATCAAGAGTTGGTGTTGAGCCAACGAGGGTATATCAAAGGCTTCAGGAGTTGATCGCACCCCTAGAAAGCTGGGAGTACATATCGTGAAGACAAACTAGCCACAGGATCACTAGCTGGACAACAATAGAAAATGACAACGTACAATGGGCGTATATATATATATCTGTGTGTGTGTGTGCAAACCTTAGAAACTTAATTTGTGAATCAAAATATGAAGTATTAGCCAGCTAGGTTGCATATGTTTTAAGGCAAATAACTGTTTAAGAAGTTTCTTTTCTTCACGTCTTTAGAAAATGTTTTATAACTTTTACATGCTTAATTGGTTTATCAATCAAGAGTAACAAAGCAGACTTCAATTTATCTTTTCTTTTTTCAGTGGCTTTTATTTATAGAAAGTTCACAGCCAGTTATTTTCCATAAAACAAAATGCAACCTTAGATATTAAAATTAATTGTATTGATCAAAATGTAGGATTGGGAGCTGATGCATGTTGGCAATCCAAATTATAAATTAATGCTTTAAGTATCCCCAGAACATTCAGTTTAATTTGCTGTAGCTAGGTAGTAGAATGCAAAATGTAGTGCTGCTGATTTAAGTTTTGCATTTTTTATTCTAAACTTGCATTTTAATTATTCGGAAGTCCAAATCTGAGCGGGTGAAAAGAGTTTGAGTTGTGACCACAAATTGCAACTGCGAAAAATTATCACCGTTTCATTTTACAAGACCAAAAAAAATTTGCTAAGAGACAAATATCACACTCCTCAAATATGAACTACGCTCCACACATCCTCAAAAGAATATTAAATGTCAATATTAATTAGATATGAATTTTGAATTAAACTTGACTTTCAAGATTCAAGCATTAATATCATAAATAATTAAACTTCTTGAAATGGATGCTTTAAAATTGGACTTTTCTTAACTAGGAGTGAAACCAAAAATAAAAGTACTCCCTGAAAAACACAAAAAGCAATTGATTTTTCTTAATTAATAAGTGTGTTTTTCATAAAATTTTTATCAATTAATAAAATTTTGACTTTTAGTTCCTTTTATTTTATTTTATTTTTAAATTTAGTAGGGATGCCCGTAAAGACCCCTCTAATTTTTACTTCCAACAATGGGAATAATGGTTTTGTTATAGAATAGGAGGTTGTTGCAATGTTTTGTATTTTGGAAAGAAAAATTATTAGTATGGGTACACTCGTAATGACTATACACCTAATATAATAAATAAAAACAGTTGAAAAAAATGAAATAGGTGATATGATATAATAAGAACAGAAAATTGGTGAAAAATGATTAAAAAACCATAAAAATTGTATAAATATTTGTAAATTAAAATTGTCTTGAAAAATACTACATATCACATTTTAACGGGGTAGAAGGTTGAAGGGAGGGGGGGGGGGGGGGGAATTATAAAGATAAGATTAAAGAGAAGTAAAAATATTATGAATTAATATCATTTCAATGTATACCAACCATTAGATGTATTGTCTTACGTCCAACAAAAGTTTTCATGTTCGAAGTTTAATTTTAAACTTCATTGATAAAAGAGAAGAGTTTCTACAAGTGACTGTTTAAACATATTGATTAAATAATATTTAATACACATAATTGAAAACTTTGTTTATTTCTTTTTAATTGTTACATTTTTTAAGAAAATAATTGTTTTTATTTATTTGTCATTCTTCAAAATTTAAGACAACGTTATTTATGTTTTATCAAGTATATCTGTAACTTAAACTAAAATAAAAAATGATTAATAAAAAACATAATCAAAAGTATATTATAAGAAATTAAATAATAATTTTAATAAAAAAGAATATTAAATATAAAAGGTCATTTTAAACATTTTAAAATTTTAAAAGGTTATCCTTTGTGAATAATAAATATTTTACTTTAAATTATTTTTATGTTTATTTCTTAACCCATGCATTAACTAAACTCCTATAATTTAGTATTTCTCGTGCAAAATACTGTAGTTACTGTAAATCGTTCAAACGCTTCAGCGAATATCCCTTTGATGTTGCCCTTTGTAAAGCGGAGGGTGCCAGATGCATTTTGGGCCGGAATGGACTTTCATTAAAAATAAAATAAAATAAAATAAAGTCTTTTTAATGCAAAATTTTTAGACAAATTTTATGTCTTTTATGAGCTTTTTTTAAAAATTAATTTAAATCCTTTCAAATTTTTTATAATAAATAATTACTAGCATTTCCTTAACTTAATTATATAAAAAAAGTATAAACTCGTTTTAAGACATATTAATTGATGATATTTTTATATCTTTATCATAAAATTTATGTTTAACATTTACTCATATATATGAATATATTTAGTCATTTAAAATAGTATGAATAAAGGATAAGTGTTATGTTGATATAAATTTTTATTAAAAATTTTAATTATAATTTTATTAACTTTAACTCTTAGAACTAAATTTAAAAATTAAATATTGTAACTTTTCATTAAAAATAATATTTATCACACTTTTATTTTTAAGATAAATGTTTGTTGTCCTGACAAAATTTTATTACTTTTAGTCATTTATCTTCAAACTTGAATATTAAAATTAATATTTTCTTTTAAAATATATAAAATTAAAACTTGACATAATTGTTTTATTTTATTTTATACTCTATTGACTTTCAAATATAAGTAAACATAAACTCAAGTATATGATGGTCTAAAATATAAATAAATCTTAAATAATTTATATTATTTAATAAAATTATGTTTTAAAATATTATTATTATTTTAAAATTTATTTTTAATATTTTTTATTATCAAAATATGGCACCAACAATTTTATATGAATTTAAAACTAGAAAGAGAAAATTTTACTTAACACAAAATCTCGTAATTTAAATCTCTTTTCAAATTTTATTTTTTATCATTGACTTTGACATTTAACATATCAACTTAAACTATCTACTAATATAATTTAATGCTAATAAAGTAGTTAAATTATTTTTAATGATTTATTTTTTTACAATAAATATTATTAATGATATACTAAAACTTAAATTTGTTTTTCAGATAAAATTTAAAACATTCAATAAAATTAACTAATTTTCTCAATACGTAAAATTAAATTATTTTTTATTTATATTTCAGATAAAAAAATTACTCATAATTTTATGTCTGTAAATATTTTATAAAAATTTCATTAGAAAAATATCGATATCTTCTAAGAAGAATATAATAATAATAATAATAATAATAATAATAATAATAATAATAATAATAGAAACAAAAACGAGAGGAAGGGAGATAGTTGAATGAAATAACAAAAAGATAATTTAGGGTGAGAAAAATGGCAAATACATACAGGAAAGAGAAACAGTTATCATAAATTATTATTGAGTGCAAAATATCTCTAATTATATAGATTTAGTATCATAAATAAGAATACTATCATAAATATGATAAAATAATTAAGTGCTGATCATTAACTATTAATATTTTAATAGATATTGAACAAAGTTACGTTGATATCATATCACAATTTATATTTTACGTTAGTTTAATTTTGATATATTAATATACAATTTTTATATTGGAAATTAATTAAAATTTATAATAAGTGTGATTTTAAAAAATAATTTTTAATATAATAATCTGTAATTAAATTAACTGGAAAATAAATTTCAACAAGTAAATATTATATGATAATTTTAAAAAGTGACATTGTTTTTTAAATGATTATATGAATTCACAAATCTATTAATCTTAATTATTTATTTGAAATTATACATAGAATGTTATTTTTATGGATAAAAATGAGAAATATACATTTGTATTGTAGAATTATGCATAAATCATCAAAATTAAAAATTATTATACAATCAATTTTAAAAATATATAATCTTTTAAAAGTATTACCTGATTTTTCTCCAATCGTACTTTTTTATTTGTGATTTGTAAACGTCTGTATGCAAATTAAAAGAACTGCATTTATTTGCAGGCAAATGGGAAAGTGTCCACTGAAAAGTAACTAATCAAATGTATATATATTGTGAGGTTAAATTTTTAAACAATTTATTTTTGAAACATTTTCAACAAGATTGTTTTTAAGAATTTCTTTATCTCATGATACTAAATTTTTTTTATGTTAAGAATTTTTAAATTTAATATTAATTTAAGTTTTAAAATTTTCATACTTTATGTTTTAATTTAAAGTTTATCTATTTATTTCATTTTCCTGTGGTCCGTACTGTGATTATATTCTAAATCGTCAATTAGGAAGACTAATTACTAATCTCGGGTTATAGTTATTTAGAGTGAGGTTTTAGTGGTAGCAACTTCATTTTATACACGTGGTATAATGTATGCAGAACAAAAAATCAAACCCAAAATATGATTAGGACACCGAGAGGCTTTAATCCACGATGACCAGGTTCATGTATCATATTCTAATAGGAAACCCAGGGAACGTGAACTTAGAAAAGTGGCACGAGGTCAAATAGTTTGATCGTTTTCTAGTCAAGTCAAAACTATTCGTTTTAGCTTATTTTAGCATTTCTTACTGTTTAGTTTCATGAAGTAAATTGTCACGTGCTTTTTTGCATGCCGAAGCTTCGTGGTTGAATTTCCAGTTCACTGACAAATTACAGTAGCAAATCAAGTACAGTGATTAATATATCGGACAAAGTTTTTGTGTTTGAATTCTAGGAAGACTGATCACACCGGCACTTATGGGGACACAGGCAACAGTGAAACCCTTTTTCGTTGAAAACGATATAATATATCATGAATACATTTTCATACATTTAAAACTTAAAAGAAAAATTATAAAATGATAAAGAATTAAAGCAATTAACATTTATAATTTCAAAATTAAAATGAACATTAATATTAAAAAAATTAACATGAATATTTACTCTTATGAATGACTTATAATTCTAGACACTTTTCTTCTCGTTTTCTAAAATTTACCCTTTAATTTAAGCTCAGTCATGTAATGCATGTCATAGTTAACTTTGAAATACATTACTAAAATATCTAAAGTGAGAACCATTTTAAAAAGAGTGAGAAAGAAATTAAGGAATATTTAATTTAAATACTTCTAATTATTTTAAATAAATAATTTTTTTTATGTTTTAAAATATAAATGCTTATCTTTTATTTAATATATTTTTATTTTTATTTTTTTAATTATTGATTTTATCAACTGTTTTTATTTTCTTTTATTATTTAATTTAAAATTTTATTAACCTCAATTCTTAGAATCGAAGATAAATAATTAATAATAGTAAATTTTTATTAAAAAATATTTATTATATTTTTATAGTTTTAATACAGTAATTATATATAATTTTTTAATTTTTTTATTTATAAATATTTAAACTTAATTTTAAAAGTTAAAATTAATAAAATTCTTTAATTTAACTTAAAGCAATCGGATTTTCCGATGCAAATGCAAACTGAATTTGATAAGTGCATCACTTTCCTTCCTACAGTCCTATTTTTGTCTCCTTAGTCAAAAACCAATCAGCTCATCAATAATGCTGAGCCTTTTTGTTGTCCGGTTTACTCTAAAATCTGAACAAAAATTAATAGTAAAAGAGAGTCGTGACGATTTTTCGATGCAAATTGGATGGTAGAAATATTGTTACTAATTTTATTTAAATTTAAAAAAATTCAAGAAGTGTATTAAATAAAAATGGTTTTATTATTGATTAAAATCAAAGTATCTCATAAACTTAATTCATTTTAAATAAATGATAAATATGTTAT